GGCACACGCGAGCGTGGTGTGGGCAAGGAACCATTTTAATAGGAACTATTAACTTCTGCATTTCCCTTTCCTTGTTTGTTCAAGCTCTCGGGGTTGATGTTTACTCAACTGTTCTTGCTTTTAATAGTTTCGGTGGTGTTTGATGCCGTTGATACGGGAGCTGCTCCCATGGAGTTTGTTTTCCAAAGGAAGAAACTTGGGTGGACTGTGCATGCCCCATGCTGGTGATTTGGGGTTGCTCTCAGGGAAATGGGGTCTTGGGAGACTTCCCTTCTTGGGGGGGGTTCAGGAAAACCAGTCAAAACCCAGTGGGTGCATCTCCATGGGAAAAGCCACTCCATGTGCTCGCTTGCCTGCTCCTGCGCATCCCTGCTCGTCTTCTGGATGCGGATGTGCCGAAGCCCGGGCTGCCTCATCCCCTCCGCTCCCACATCACTTGTTTATTCAGGGTGTGCTGGCAGCGGCGTGCCGGCAGCCTCGTACGCCTGGTGCCGGCGCTGCCTCTCCATTACAGCTCCTCGCTCCTTAGGGAAGCGCTTCTGCAGCCGGCGCGGGTCACACGGAGCCCTCCCGGCCCGGGGGGGGACCTTTCCGATGGCGGCTCCTGCCCTTCTGCTGCGGCAAGAAGCGCTTGCTGCTGAACGGAGGACAATGACGACACATTGGGGGTCTCGCTGTGAACCCCCTCTGGGTTTGCACTGGTGGCGGAGCATTTGCAGCTCCCACTGCGGTAGATGAGTCCCAGTTTGCAGCAGGGCCACCACATTTGGGGACAAGCTGGATGGCAACAGTAGGTACCGGGGCAGGCGAGCAGCACGGCTACCTGCTGTGCAAATAACCTTTTACCAAAGGAGCCAGGAACGGGAGTCTGGAGGTTATTAATGCTTATTATTATTATTATTAAGGCTATTGTCAAGACTTATTCCCCTTCCCGCTGCCCCTGGATGTGCCCGTGGCCGGGCACACTCATCACCGGGCATCCTCATCACCCGGCATCCTCATCACCCGGCATCCTGCCGCAGCCTGCATCCTCCTCCGGGAGAGAAATTCAGGCGCGGAGCTGGGATTGGGATGGTTCACCCCTGCCTGGTATCGCTCCTGTGGTGAGAGCGTTTCTTCCCATTAATCACCCCCACCCCAAAGCGGGATGCCGGCCCAGCACTCGGAGCAGGTTCCCAGCAGGATCCCAGCAACAGATTGGTACCAATGAGCTTTTGAGTGCTCTAAAAATACTGAGCGCAGAAAGCGGGGAGCGAAAAATGGCTGAGATTCAGTGAAATCAAAGGCGTCATTAACATGCAGCCCGTGTGAGTGTATTTTTAGGGCCCTACAAAAAGGGTCTAAAACATTGAATTCACATCAGCACGCGAATGTTCCAGTTTAATGGGATCCTGGGGCCTGTGGGGAAGACGTGAGAGATGCTTAATTGTCAGTGTTTGTGTTTTATTCATGATTGAACGTCCTTAGCAAGCGAAAAACTGATTTGCCGCGGGCTTCTCGCTGCTTGTGTGGCTTTAAACCTTATTCCGGCCAGGGCTGGCGTATGCTGAGATGGGCAATTGCCCGGTGTGCTGGAAGGGCTGATTGTTCCCGGCGTTTGCATGAGCTGTGCTAGGAAAAAGGGATTATCGTCTCCGCTCTGACGGGGAGCTCCCTGCCAGGGCTGCCGTGGGACGCTCAGCGCTTGCGTGGGCCTCGGGGGGGATCCGAGACAGAAGAAAAATCACATTGGGGTAAATCAGGAGCCACATCCAGCCCGGGAGGTCCCTGAATGCGGGTGGCCGGGCATCAGGAGAGCACTGGGAGACAGCTTGGATGCTTCCCGTCTCCTCCTGGCTTCCCCTCGTACCCGAACCCGAGGGCTGTGGGGCAGTTTGCTCAGAGATGGGTGCTGCTGTGGCAAAGCCAAGGTAGAAACCGGACTCCCATCGCTCCGGCACCCGAGATGTGCCGGAGCCACCAAAGCACTGTTGAAATGGCACAGCCAGACCCGCATGGAGCCTTGGGCGTGATGAATCCTCCGGCCTCTGCGGTGCCAGGCTCACCCACGCCGGAGGCAGCGCCTGCATCTCAGGTAGCAATTTGGGGACTAATCCTGCGCGTGGCCGTGGCCGGTAGCTGACTCACTGCCCGTCCTTAGGGAGGGATTGTGGAAGCAACTGCTTTTCCCATCGGAGACGGATTCATGCGGCGCCTTCCCCGCTCGGCTGCGCAGGTGGAGGAGGGATGAGCCGGCACCGTGACGCAGATGTGGTCCCTGCAGGCTCACGGAGTGGGGGGGGGCTCACCGCGGCGCAGAGCAGCTCCGAATCATCAGTGGGATGGTGGCTCGTTAGGGAGGGGGGGGTTTTTTTTAATCTGTTGTGAAACGATGTGCAGATGGCACAGCCGCTCGGCCGGAAGGAACGGAGGAACACGGGATGCCAAGGCAGGGTTCCTTATTTTAAACTGCTTCCCTTGCCAGGGAACAAATGTGCCACACTTCAAAATAATAATTATAAAGCCTGGGAGAGGATCCAGGGAACCCAAAATCCTTCTGTGGGTATCGGTGCGTTGGCTGAAGCGCTGCTTTGGTTGGCATCGTGCTGCCTGCCCGACCCCGCAGGCAGATGCCCTCATTGCCGGGGATGTGTTTGGTGGGTGGGCATCATCCCAGCGGGTCACAGCTGGCTCGGAGACATGCGTGTGGGGTCGTGCTGTGATTCAAAAAGGGGAAAACAAGTTCCCTCTTACCTTGCACCCCAAGGAACAGCCCTCCACTGCGAGGATATGTCCTCCCTCTGCTCCGTGCTCGGGAGCAGCCCTGCCTGCAGGGAATCATAGAATCACAGAATGGTTTGGGTTGGAAGGGACCTTGAAGGTCACCCAGTGCCACCCCCTGCCCTGGGCAGGGCCACCTCCCACCAGCCCAGGTTGCTCCAAGCCCCGTCCAACCTGGCCTTGAACACCTCCAGGGATGGGGCAGCCACAGCTTCTCGGGGCAACCTGCCCCAGGGGCTCACCGCCCACACAGCCAACAATTTCTTCCTAATATCTAATCCAAATCTCCCCTCTTTCAGTTTAGAACTCTTCCCCCTCATCCCATCGCTCCCCTTCCTGATCAAGAGTCCCTCCCCAGCCCCTTTAGGCACTGGAAGGGGCTCTGAGGTCTCCCCGGAGCCTTCTCTTCTCCAGGCTGAACCCCCCCAACTCTCCCAGCCT